TCGTCGGCCACCCGGACTGCATGGATTATTCGCACGCGTGGGCGTCTTCCTCGTCTTTGTAATTTGAGCTTGGAGTATGTGTCCACTCCTTACGGGACGATGGGAGTGTTGTCCCTTTGTTCGGCCTCAGTGCCCTTGTCGGCCGTGAAAGGTGCCCCTTTGGAAATCTTCCAAGTGCTTGGAAATTTCTCAAGTGTTGGACAGCCCGGATCCTTGTCCACGTCGGCCGCTCTGGATGCTACTCAGGGATTTCTCCAAATACATAGAAATTTCTCTGAGTGTTTGAACACACTTGGGTGATCGCTTTCTTTCTGAGTGGCTGACGACAGCAATTTGCCTTAGTAATTTCGTCCATTTTTTTTAACGCTTTTGTCGGTAATACGCAATGTTCGCCTGATATGTACTTGGATAATTCTGGGGATTTAATTTTTTGTAGCTCGAGACTGGCAAGTGTGCGGTACGTCGGCTTTCCCTCTTTTGTCTTGGGGATTTCGCCCGAGGCCGGTAAGTGCACAGTTCTTCGGCTTTCCCTCTTTTGATATTGATTCCCTATTTCAGGGAGTATCCTTTTTTCAGGCTTTCTATAATCAGCTTAAAATATAGCTTATCATATCATAATGTTCTTGAGTTGAATGTCGAGAACATGCTTATTTCTTTTATGTACGTGTTTTAATGTAAACCGGTATATAAACGTACAATTTTTAGTGTTGTTGAATTAAGCTTAACTATCATGAATCGCATTTCAATCTTTATTCATTTATTCATATATCCAACTTTGGATTTGGATTTTATGCATGTAGATTCTGAATTTCATTGTAGTATAAATTATACTCCTATCGTCTCGCTAAGATTATTCTATTTTACCTTTTCGGGAAGTTCCACTAAGATTGTCCCATACCAAATTTGGTAAAGATTGTGTGGTTCTAAATCATTCTTACTTTATTCTTACTTTATCAATTTAATATCACCCACACAAACCCAATTTTCTCAATAATCGTGCCACTTTCTCTCGTTCCAATCTTGGTGGTATATATTAATAACCACTACTTTAATCAGATTTGATAAAATCTAACTCCTCATTTGTGGTTGCTTGTTTGACTTATAATGTCGTGAACATATATTTGCAAAATATTCAAAATTAACTTCATTAATCATTATAACACATTTCCGTACACATGTTACTTTATATATGGGTGAATTCTCTAAATAGGAGTAAAAAAGTTTTGAAAATTCTAAATAGGACTATCATGTTTTTTATTCCTTGAATAGGAATAAATTTTTGGCAAGTTTGGCATTACTATGCTTTAAAACATGGCATTTTTTTCAAAATTGGCAGATGACTCCTATTCAGAGAATAAAAAACATGATACTCCTATTTTGGAATTTCAAAACGTTTTTGCTCCTATTTAGAGGAATTTTTATTTATATATATCAGACCTAGTTTCAAATAATAATAACAATAATACTACAATCCCGTATAATATTTTCAATATTTAATTTGAACCATTGATTTGTAAACTAAAAGATTAATTAATGGAATTTTATCAATTCACGACCCAAAAGATAGATGAATTATCAATTCGGGACCTGAAAGATGAGATCTATCGGTATAGGATCCGAATGATGAAAAACTATCAATCGATTTTGTCAAGTATATGTATCAAGTCTTTTCTTTATTTATCTATTTATTATTATATTTCTTTTATGTTGTCCATGTTGGAAAAAGTGTTAATAAATTGCATTAAATGGTCATTTGGAGGCAATTATTTGAGTGAGGTCCATTTCCGATTTGGGTCGGGTCAAAGTGGTTTCAGATTTTCCTTGTTAAGGGCTACAGTTCGATATGTGGTACACTCAAAACGGATAACGGGTGAATGAGAAATTGATTCTCGAAGTTCAATCGTTGAAACGGAAAAACTGGGAAAAGTATGGATTTCTAGTGTGATTTATCCCACACCGGAAAACCCAGGGGATTTTCATCCCCTTGTAAAGGGAACCCTCTTTGAAGGAGTTAAGATTCCTACGGGTAAAAGCTCTCTTCGCGCGCAGGGTGTGCCGATCAAATCCCGAAAACGGAGAAGAAAAATTGTGACTCATGTGCGCGGGGTGACCTGCGGACATGAATGTCGTCCGAAAATCTATCATTCAAAGATACGATTTAATTTTTGTTTCTTCCCGTAACGTTTTATTTTTCCCAAAACCAGAAATACTCGGACAGAACTGCTCGAAACCAGAAAACCTCCGTGGTGTTCTGGTGGCTTTGGACCAGAACACCTCAGTGGTCTTCTGCTGGCTTCGTACCATAAGTACTCCAACTCTGGTGGGGGTCTTCTGGTCGCATCAGAAGTGCTCAACTCTGGTGGGGGTCTTCTGCGGACATGAATGTCATCCGAAAATCTATCATTCAAAGATACGATTTAATTTTTGTTTCTTCCCGTAACGTTTTATTTTTTCCAAAATCAGAAATACTCGGACAGAACTGCTCGAAACCAGAAAACCTCCGTGGTGTTCTGGTGGCTTCGGACCAGAACACCTCGGTGGTCTTCTGCTGGCTTCGTACCATAAGTGCTCCAACTCTGGTGGGGGTCTTCCGGTCGCATCAGAAGTGCTCAACTCTTGTGGGGGTCTTCTGGTCGCACCAGAAGTGCTCGACGTATTCTGGTCCGTTACAACAATAAATGCCCAACATTCTTATCTTTTAATGTTGCGTTAAATAGACAGTTTATGGACGATTCAATGTCCAACGGACTCGTCATTGATGTCCAACGTTCAGGTCCATTAACACTCTATTTAACACACAACAAATCCACCTATAAATAGCTGACAGGTGCTTTGCAACATATACACGTTCTTACACGTTCACAAGCAAACATACACGTATTTCAGCTCGAAAAACACCTCCAGCTCTTTGAAAAAAATCCTGAGTGTTCTTCTTTGTTCCCGTTCGCTAGAACTTTCGTTTGTGTGCTCAAACGTTAGTTCGTTAGCCACCGTGTCCTGGGAAACAGTCGTTGCAACGCTCCTACCGTGGGAGACGACGAATATGTTTTAAGTACATCGTGCGTAGCACGAGCTCTGGCTAAACTCTGCTTCATCTATTTTATGTTTTCTTAAGTCATTTTAATTAATTAATTTTTATTAATTATTTTCTTCGTTTTTCCGAGACACATCCAACCGTCCCTTTTTGCATTTAACTGAATTTGCCACACCTAAAAGTGAAGCCACGTAAAGTGTTTCCTTTGTCTATTGTTTTAGTTCTTAGCCACGTGCACTTCTAATTTATCAATTTAATAATTTATTATTTGTGAATTATTATTGTTCTTATTCTATCAAATTTTCTAGAATTTTCCTACTACGGAGTACGGAGGAGTAACTGGCTAGTTCTTGTTTTGTGAAGTTTAAATCTACTTAATTCATATATCACTAATGATCATCTATTTTCCATTCGTTTCCAGATGGACAAAATATCAATGCATCCATTTATCAATATTTACTTAATTATTTTATAGTTACTTTAGTTTTTTTTACATTTTTAACGTTTTAATTTATCAATTATACTAGTTATCGACACGTGCGTTGCGCGACGGAATAGGTGCCCAATGTAGATTTTATTGAAAAACATGTATATTGTATATTGATTTAATATAGTTACTTTTAGTATTTGACATGTTAACATTAGTATCAACTTAGAAATAGAATATTTAACATCCTTTCATCATAAAAGAGGTCCCAAGAACAAAAAAAAATGCAAACCCACATAAAGGCTAGACTTTGTTTTCCTAATTTCATAAGAAAAAGTATTATACGAAATATCTAATGTGTGTGTGACTAAATACTAATCGTTCTTGTTTGATCTAATATGGGACATTCGTGTGATTATATATGAGATGAAACGACGGGTACGTAGAGTAAACGAAAATCAAAAGAAATATAAGATTGATTAATAGACAAAATATATAATTTTATTGTTCAAGGGAAAGTAGCAATTTATTAAGTGTTATATATAAATCTTCAGTAATAAGTTTTTATTTTTGTCCTTTAAATATGTGTCTTGCCACTTGTAGTGTGCAATATAAAAATTACTAATCAAAATAGTATGAACTCATATTTTAGTACTCTTCTCTTGAGTCAAACACAAGTCATTCTATTCATGAAATGTTCATCTATATAGAATTTTGATTTTGACTATTAGCGTGAATTGGTGAATTGTCCACTGCAAAATAAATTGGAGAATTAGTAACTTTTAGCTACATTACTTATAACTTAAGCACGTACAAGAAAACAACAAAAATTATATTTTCTGAAGACCTAATTTAGTGATTCACAAGCAACATGATAAAAGATGAATAGTGTTCCAATCCATGAGAGAAACTACTAAAAAACTAAGCTTTATCTGCAAATCTTTTTAAGGAAAGTGTGTTTCTGCAATAAGTTATTCAATCTATGTATACTATATGAACTAAAATGGAAAAATTGGAAATAGTAAATTGTTTCAGGAAAACGTCTACCTATTTTCCCACAAGAAGTTATTATCCAATGCCAAAAGAGGAAAGTTCTTGAAAAAGTGTCAAAAGTACAGACAAACTTCACATACCAAAGTGTTGACCATAAGAAGCTATAATTTAACTAATAAAACAATTAATAAATTGATTTGGAGAACAAACCAAAAATAGAAACAACCAAGAAAACATCAGTTAGTATTTGACCTTTTCTGCTTCTGGATTTCATTAAGCAATTAAAGTATCTGCTTAATCAATTAGATACTCAACACTTTTAGAAAATATCTTAAGATGATGATGTATATGTGCCACACATCATTTGTTTATTAAAGTCCTTCAGACTTTCCAATTTCAACTGAAACCTATTGATTGAGAAACTAAAGAATGAAAGAAGCGAAAAATTCAAAATAAAATGCATGAAAGAAATTAACTTGCCAAGAAGCAAAAAGCCTAATAATCAAAACAAATCGAAGTAATTGATTATTGAGATTAAGCTAATCATGAGAAGTCAAATGAAGTGAACTTAACAGAGTACATAAGACATAGTCAATATTAAAGTTACTGATCAACTATTAGACTTAGATTCAGAATTTCTCTATTGATTACCACATATGTGTGCATGAGGATGAAAATTGAACTACTTGAATGGGAAAAGAACATGCGCTTAGGAACAAATCCGAGGTATACTAAGATGGAAAGCGGTTATTTTGAACAAAAAGATTTCAGCGTTGTAGCAAGATTCCTCTCCTTTCTTTTCTTTTCACCCTCTTCTCTTGCTCACTTTACCTCAAGAAAAATTGCTCAAGAAACTTGTAGCCCAAGACCTAAAGAAAAAATCCCCACACCTCATGTTTTTCTTACACTTTTATCACTTTCTTCACCTACCTATTCAATTGAATCCTTTTCAGCCTGAAGTGGTTAAAAAAATGAATCAGGTCCTAGAGAAGAGGTTTCTCACCTTCTAGAATCAGGTCATATAGTGCTCATTTTCCTGTTGGATCCAACCCAAATCAATAATATTATGAGGGAACCACTTTATAGGATTGGAAAATGGCTCGTTCTCATTTTCCTACTGGATATGACCCTTTCAATTATTGAATCTGTTATAAGGCTGCCATTAAATGGAAATATAAAAAGGATGAAATATCAATGTAAGTTTAACTTTCGTTATATAAAGAAAAAAACATGACATGATAAGTGGACAAGAATAACAAAGGATTTCATTGTATAAATTTAGTGGGCAAACACAGAATGGAGGAGCAGAGACAAAAATAGTTGTATAACATATTAACATAATATGTGAGTATAACATTTTAACAAAATATAATATTCGGACCTACTAAAGTAAGATACGATTGTACTTTAGCTCATATATAGCCTGTGGCGTTAGCGCTTATATATCATAATACAACAACACTTGATTTGTGATATTGTTTATTGGAAGTGTCATGCCTCACAATTTACTGCATAGCTATAAGTGTAAGATATTAATTGAGTGTTTTTTGTGTTTGCTATGAACCTGGAAGGATTCATTTGTAAAGTATCAGTTTTACTGATTAGTGATTAGGTCCTGTTTCTTTAAGCTTCACAGTTTCTCCTCCATTTGATGTGTATTGTTATAACCATAGACTTATACTAAATCACTGATGATATCTATCGAGCATAAACAATAAGGTGTTGCAAACAGTCCTCATTTATATCATATCTATAAAATCAAACAAAAAAACATGTATCCAACTTTTTAAAAATCAAGTTCAATGGGTCCGCTTTCACCAGAATGACAGAATCCAAATCATGGTCATGATGGAGCCATTTATCTAATAATTTATGGGCAAAAAAATTGACATGGTTAATTTTGATATGAAATTCATAAGCACCAAGTAGCTCTGTACTAAACTTTCCAATCCATTCATCTAATTTTTGTAATTCCCCAATTTCTACAAACTTATCTTTCTTTTCATATGCCTTTGAGTATCTAATTTCTGAGGTAAAAAGATAATACGATAAAAAGAAGACAAAGCAGAAGGAACAAAAGGACCACATATCTAATTATCTAAACAGAAGGAAGCACCCCTTACTTAATATTGGAGCACATCATGTTCCAAATATATAGAGCCTAAAACCAGCAGCTCAGCCTGCAAACCTAAAAAGTTCAGTAGATAAAAACTCTGTTGAACTTTGTACTAATCATTTGAGTAAACTATAATAGACTTACGTATGTACATAAGAAATACTTCGTATATGATATGTATATACAAATATTTTGTATAATAAATCACATGGGGCACCCACCTCATTGTGCATCGCAAAAACAATGAAGCAAGTAATTGGATAGTAAAGATTTCTCTATTTCTTTTAAACATTTGGAAATAAGACTATTCAATATGAATAGCCTCATTAAACTTAAGCAATATTTAAACATTCAACAATAAACAATCAAAATCGCATATCGCTTTAACTGCTTCAAGCTTTCTTTGAGTTTAAAGGTTATCATACTTCCACCGAAACCTTAACACTACATTTACATTAGGTAAGTGTAATTAATTTACAGTTTGGTTATTAACTAACCTGCATTTTCTTACCAAAAAATATGTTAGTTTTTAATGTCTAAATTTAACATACCAGGTATGACTATTTTAATTGTTTTGTCTCAACTAACCGTAAGTTGAAATTAGGTAATTCAGACAAGTAATTTTCAGTTTCATTATTGACTAACCTACATTATCTTACTTAAAGTATAATACTAGCCATTTCAAGGCTGAGATAGGATTCTTTATCATTTGTTAATGTCTAAATTTGACACACCGTACATGAGAATTTTTACAAACCATTTGCTAATATGACAATTAGGCACTAGATAACCTTCTTATGTAATCCATGTGCACATTTCAGCACATGTAAGCAAACCAAAAGGAGAGGAAAAATGAAACAAAAACAACTTTCAACTATAAGTAAATGCCAATTAGTTACTGAGATGATTTCATATGAACATTTCACCAAACACCTAGCAATCAAAGTAAAATAAAGAAACACAAACTATGAACAAATAATATAGGCACAAGGATGTGAAGAAATATAGAAGAAAGGGCGGCCACACAAAAATATGATACACAGAAATATAACAGTAGTAGTATTGACATGGCGGGGGGAAGCTAACAAATTAAGAATATTAAAGCACTTACAATGTTCATCAGGCGATGAATCGCCGTAGCTTCGCCAGCATTGAATCATAATAAGCTATTATAACCGAAAAAGAGAAATGAATTGCACTTCCGGTGGCCTCTCTGTCATTCATACTGCCCGCAATGTTGGAGCGGCAATGGGGGAGATCAATTGTTAGGGTATTGAATTGGATAGTAAATGTATCCACGAAGACGAATCACATAAACCATTTACAAGCGCAGTACAAGCAACGATGGTAAAGAAGGGAAAGGGAATTACTGTTTGTTAAACTCTCTGTTCTCACAAAACTGTACAAAATAGCATGTGACTATCAGCATGGAAGTAGCCGTCTTGTGTATGCGATCCTGAAGTTGCAGAAGACATGCTCGGTTTTAACGGCATAGCTGACCCTGTCACCCTTTACTCTGCCATAACCGCAACACGCTTGGACTAAATATGCTTGGAGTACAATCGGCCAATGCACCCAGAGACACGAACAAATTTTTCATGACTGTTATGCCCCTAACAATATTCATGCTTATAAAAGAAAGGATTGTACGTAATGTTATTAACTAATTCACTTAGGTGGACCTCAAATACTTAGTTATCATATAATACCGAATGAAATTAGGCGGTTACACTATGTTGTCATTTATTCAATTCGCTTTTAACTATATTGTAATTTAGTGTAGTTTTAATTGATAATCAATTAACCTACCAAAATCTCAATATTTCATTCATTGTTTTAAAAAAATCTTTAGTTGTTTATTTTTAGCGTCAAAATTCCAAACATGTAAAATTAGGGATGTTACAATTACGATACTCAAACAGAAAAGATACTCGATATAAAAAGCGGAAATAACGATACTAAGCCTCGAGATGAGACTTTATTTCTTTAAACATAACCAAACTATACAAACAATAACGACAAGTAACCAAAAGAAAATGCTTTTAAAAACTATTACACCTTATCAGGATTTCGATCAAAAGCATTTAACAATCCATAGGAGTACCAAAGTACTAAAAACAAAACATAACAATTAGTCAGATCTTCTTCATTAACCCATCCAAAACCTTGTCACCGGCTCCACACGCTCTCTCAGGCTTTCGTATTTTCATTTATTACATATACATGAGAACACAGCAGAATAATATTCTCGTAAGAAACAATACTTAGTAAGTCACCATTACATCCACTAAAAATAATGGAGTCTCAACTAGTCATAAACAGATACACACGCTGAATACACCACACATAAATTACAGTCACACATGAAATGCGCATAACAACACATAACTGCTCAAACATCAAACCTCAAGGGGTTTCCTTATTCATCCTTCTTTCCTCTCATCTTGTTCTTTGAGTTTGTGGGCCCGTAGCTCGTGTCTTGGCCCCTCGCTGATGACCTCGGGTAGCTAGCCCGCATCCCATCAGAAGTAACCCCAGGACTTCCCACAGGAGGATGTCCCGCTACGCTTAGATCAGGTAGTCACTTGGGAGCACGGCTACCTTAGAACATCACTTATCATTCATTAGTTTTCATTATCATCATAACTTCCTTTTCATTGTTGGTTCCATATGAAGCCAACCTAAAACCATAACATGGATTCTGAATATTCTACATCACATGAATCAATAGCTCCACAATTAAGTCCACCTGTCCATAGATACATGCAACTTGGAATTCACTTAGTCTCATGTCATACAATTTCAAGTATTCAAGCAAATATATCGACTCATCATTAGCTAGACTTCCATACTTTATTTCGAGCTATATATATCATGTATAGGTGGTGATGACTTACCTGGTTCATACGGAGTATTTACCCTTATGTGCGTCCACGAGCAACGATTCTTCGATGAGCAACTATAATTATCAATACACAATTTTATACTTGATCAAACTTAAATCCATGTCTTTAGAAAAATCCCTGAACTTAAAGAATGAGGGAAATTCTACAAAATCAGCCCCCAAACATGATAAAAATCCTGAAATTCCTACACCCAAACGGTTAAATCCTCCAGTAGCTAGATAACAAAAAAACGATTGAAATTCACAGCTTTTCGGTAAGTATGTTTATGTTTACTTTTTGAAATATAAACATAAATCCTTTGAAAGGTTCAAAAACTTTGAATGAGGTACAAATTAATTTTGGGAAATTATCAAAGACCTTCTATCATATCAAAGTTGATAAAAACGCAAGACAAAGAAATCAATGACCATCTTATGAGTAGTGGAATAGTTTCACAACTCATATTGTTTGGTACATTATAATGAACCAATGTATTAGAGCAATTAAATCAAACCGTGTTAGACATGATATGTCCATAATGAGTTCACCTGGACTTTAAAGCTCCTTTTGGAGTTACACTCTTGAAACCATTGCATTCCTACTTAATATGCTCTGACAAAATAATAGAAAAGGACATCATTTGAGATAGGGAAAAATAACTAAATATCTCAAACTTTGAAGGGGTGTGAGATGAACACTCTAAACTTGCATATATATTTTAAATACCCCAAACTTTATATATAAAGTTATTTTGGCACCTAAGTCAATTATTATTTCTTTCAAAAATATAAATTTATGGTGTTAATTGCATAATTTAAAATATTTTAGAATTCATGAAGACACAATTAACATTATAAACTTCCATTGCAACATAAATACTGTTATCCTCAATCTATATGATTGCAATACTTTTAAATTGCTATTTTAAATTATGCAATTAACCACATAAATTTACATTTTTTAAAGAAACGATACATAACAATGGTGCGAAAATAACTTTTTATATAAAGTTTGCGGTATTTAAATTACATACGCAAGTTTGGGGTGTTTACTTCGCACCCCATCAAAGTTTGGAGTATTTTTATTATTTTTCCCTTTGAGATATGAAAATGAAAGGTTCATAGCCTAGTTTGTGCAGATTTGAGGTATTCATGTTTATGTAAAATGTTTACTTTCAAATAATCTCCAACTGGAATGTATTGAGCGAGTGCTTGTTACTCATATATCTTAAGAAATTAAATGGTACTGGTTTTACAATCCAACAGATAATAAAATGTTTGTTACTCATAGTTGTGAATGCACTTTTATACAACAGTAGTTCCAAGAAGGTTAAGAAGGTGTGGCACAGGTTAGCAAGATGCATGTTTGATCTATCCGAGCATTGTGATACATTTTTTATTGTCAATTATGTCCCCTCTTAACACTTTTAGGAAGTAACATTGAGCCCCACTCTGATATAAATGTGGTGTGTGTTTCGAAAAACGAAGAAATTAATTAATTAAAATTAATAAAATAGCTAAAGAAAACATAAATAAGATGGAGCAGAAAATAGTCAAAGCTCGTGCTACGCACGATGTCCTTAAAACGTATTCGTTGTCTCCCACGGTGCTAGGAGCGTTGCAACAACCGTTTCCCAGGATACGGAGGCTAACGAACGATCGTTTGAGCACACAAACGAAAGTTCTGGCGAACGAGAACAAAGTATGAACATTCAGGGAATTTTCAGAAAGCTAGAGGTGTTTTAGAGCTCAAAATTACGCGCAGATTGTGTATGATTGCATGTGTTCTTGCAAAGCACTTGCAATCTATTTATAGGAGGATTTATTGTTGTAACGGATCAGAATCGTTCTGGTGCGCGACCAGAACATCACGTCTTCTGGGGTGTGCAGTTCTGTTTCGGAGCAGAGGTCTTCTGGTCCGAGCAGTTCTGCTAAGGAAGATAGATTTTTGGACGACATTCGTGTCCGCAGATCACCCACTTTGACCCGGCCCAAATCAGAAGTGGACCTCACTCAAAATATTGCCCCAAATTACCCATTTAATTTAATTTTTAACACATGTTTCCAACAATCAAGTATGGACTTGGTTGGTTTTCCCAATGGTTAAAGAACCACTAAGATGTGGTTGTTTTAAGTCAGACATTTGAGAGTTGAATCTTCATTAATTAAAGAATTTAAAGAATTTAACTTCATTCAAAACTAAAAGACGTCTCATGTTTACAATAAATTGAGTTGGAGTGCAATTACTTTTCTAATCATATATGTTGGTGAGGTGCTTCTCATTGGAAACAACTTGGGATATGTTATTCAACAAAAGTTTTAGGATTATTTGAGGATTATCATGATGATGTGGAAGATCTTTCTGAAGATTATGGTTGAGGAGATGAGATTATTCTGAAATATTATTTAGATAAAAAAAAGTATCCAATATTGAATCCTAAATTATTCTCAAATTTCAATAAACACATTTAATGCAACCATATCTTTTAATTTGAAATGATTAAAATATCTCATTGGAAATAACCAAAAAACTCCATAAAAAACTAAAGAGAAATTGCCCAATATAGGAGTAAACATAAACATAATTGCACAAATAGAAGTAAAACTTAAAACTTCCTTCAATAGGATTAAACATTAATTTTGTACCCTTAATATCCCTAACCTAGTTAATTCTAAAATATGACTTATTTGATCCTATTAAAAAAAACTAAGTTCATTCACTGGAAATGATACCCTTATGCAGCCATGCAGACCATTTAATTTTAAAAATAATCTAAGTTCATCCCAACAATATTAAAATATTAAAAATTAAAAAGTTATTTTTGTAAAAATAAAAAACTTTAAAAATAATAAATAAAAAATAGATAAACTGTATTAAAAAATATAAAAAAATTATGCAGACCTTTCCCGCAGCCTCGGTCATCACCCAGCAACGTCACCTCCAATCGGCGAAAAAAATGTCATTTTATGTAAAAACTGACATTTTTCTTTGAAAATGCCATAAAGATGGCAGTTTTACTCTTTGAAAATGCCAAATTTTCTCAAAATCTGTCATCTTGATGGCATTTCGGGAAAATGTTGGCATTTTTTCGGTGGTCGAAGCTGAAGGTGTTGGGAGGTTGTTGATATTTTTTTTGTTGAATATTTTTTTTTAAATTTTTTATTTTTTTAAATTTTTTTCATTTTATATTTTTTTCATTTTTCATTTTTTTTATTTTTTTAAATTTTTTTTTATTTATTTGTTTTAATATTTTTTTATTTTATTTAATACGGATTATATTTTATTTGATATTTTTTGTGTTTTTTTGTTTTTTAAAATTTTATTATAAATTAATTAATCTTACGGAGTATTTTTTATGTTTTAATTATTAATGAAAGTTGTTGGAGCTTGGGGGTTGAATAGGGGTATACTTGTCCAAACACTAAAGTTACTCCTATTCAAAACATGGTACTCCTATTTTTGCATTTTGCCTATGATTTACTCCTATTTGGGAATATCTCAAAACTAAATGAATAGAGATCATGGATGAAGGAGAATTAATAAGTTTTGATTTTATTTATAGACAATATCATAGCAAGAAAAAATATGAAAAACCGAATAGATGATCAATGGAGATATGCGTTAGGTATCTCGAT